GGGGGGGGGGACTGGGGTAATAAAAAGGTCCTGGGCTGTTTTTACCTTAATGCAGAGAATGCATTAAGGTAAACACCCAGACCTTAATACTACTTTTAAATGTGGCTCCATTTGTTTTTTTCCTTTTTTTTTTTTTTTCCTCTTTATTTTCACCTAGTGACAGTGCCATTAACACACTTCCCCTCCTTGGGTGACAACGCGTCTCCACTGTACTGTATATATGGAGGAGCAGCTTTGTCACCCTAAGGTTCTCTCCAGAGTTTGACTACAAACACCTCCCCTTCTCTTTACCTCCATTACATGTTGAGTAGTTGCATAGTTCACAGTAGATAGATGGGAAAGCCGATAACACATTTGAGATACAGACACCATATATAAGGTCAGGAAAGCTGCAATATATTACATTTTTGTTCTGCATTCGCATTAGGGTAAAAACGGCCCAGCATATTTTTCTCCCCCAGTCCCCCCACACTTACCTGTCAGCTACGCGGGGGGAGGATACTGATGGCAAAGGAGCCTTAGGCTCCTTCTGCCATCAATCAAACTGTTGGACGGAGAGGAGGGGCATGGCCTGCCACAGGGCTGTGTGTGTCTATGAAGGCACGAGCACGCACGGGTGCCACCATTAGCCGATGGAGGCACACGTGCAGGGGCGGGGGGAAGATTGCTGCGGGGACCCACTAGAAAACGAGGAATTAAAAACTTTTAAAGAAAAACGGCAACAGCCTCAAGCAAAGGTGGGTCTCCTTGTAGGAAATATTTTTTTTTTTTAAAGTAGGCTTTAATATCACTTTAAACTGAACATGTACTCCTTCTTTTTTTTTTTTAACGGACACGGTCACCTTGCCCATACTGGGCAAGTGATTGGCTGCTGGCCCCAACACTGGCAGTGTCTCTTTAAACCTTTAACGCTTTCGCTGCCACTGATATATGCCATACCTTGTCGGCAGCAGGCCCCTCTAAACAGACATGGTACGGTAAGACACAACACAGTAAGATGTCTGCAAATGCCTTAATTATCCAGAAAGCCCCTTCTGTACTCGTAAAGTAAAGCTAAATTATAAAGTCTGCCTGATTTCATGGCAAAACCTTGACAACTACTATTCTACTCTACAGTGAGAGTGCAAATTACTGGTCACTAAGCCTTCTTGGACTGTAACAACTATGGGCTTAACCATGAAATCTACCCTTGCAGTGAGGCTTCTGCCACACTGCAAGGGTTAAATGCTTGTTTTTGTCAAGGGTATCATTAAAAAGTAGTTTTACTTTCTTTATCCTTTAATCCCCCGGCAGCCAGCATTCTCCTTTTCTATTCCTTGCTCTGCACTGTGTCTCTGCGTGAAGGTGGACAACTTGGTAGAGGAAAAGGGTTCCTCATGTCAGAACTGTCCTCTGATGACTGGTGATTTGATTACTGGTGGGGGAATATTCAAGAAGCAGCAGGAAAAGTTCAGAAGCACAGATCCACAGAATGAATGAATGAAGAAGCAGGATGATGCATGCAGTGCAGATTCCTCTGCAGCAGAGTAGTGACATTACCCAATCTCTTTAAGGCCTCATTCATACGCGTGTACGTGCGTATTATACCATATGCAACCTATGCAAATAAATGGCTCCATACACACAGCCGCGTATAGAGCCGTATATTTGTGTAGCGTATATATGCGCAAAAACGGAATGGAACAGAGATGCGTCCGGGCAGCGTATTTCGCCGTATTAACATGTGTTTATGCGCATATACGCGTCTATACGCACGTATACATGCGTACAGCACATTAAAAATTCCATTTCGAGTGATGCATTCTGGGATTGCATATAGTGCTCGTATATACGCTTGTATAGACGCGTATATACGCAATATACAATTTTGCTTGCGTTGTGTGTGAATGAGGCCTAAGACTAGCAGTCAGAGGCAACAGTGCCTTTTAGGTGATCTCACTACAGAAAGGAGTACCTAGGCAAGCTCGTGTACCAGAATGTGCACTGGTATTTTTCAGGAGAAAATCTAGACAAAGGATAAATTTTTTCAGACCATTACATCGCCGGAATTAACATTTTATATGCTAACTATAACTTGGTAAATCTTAATGTTTTGACTTCAGGTCCACTTTAAGACATGTCTACTTTTTTTTTTTTATTAAACATTTAAATTTGCTTTCTACCCCACGTCCCCCAGTGAATTGGGAGTGCATAATGCAAATGAACATTTGAAGTAAAACAAAAACAAAAAAAATGTTAAGTTTTTATACACAGACAGAAGATGAGAGGCAGGGGAGGGAAGCCAGCATGTGTACACTAAAGAAAGTATATGGACAGGCTCTGTAAAGCAGCAGCTAGCGAGAGTTGGTTAACTTCAGCTTACATTTAAATGACTACTAGACATGTTGGTCACACCTTGCAGTACTATGTGCTTTGTATATCCATGGGTCAGCAAAGTGTGGGTACTAACATCTACCCTCTCATATCTGTGTAGCAGGCATCTGCCCAGGATAGCTTCATGTAGTGTGTTCAATGAGGAATGTTTAAACCCTGAACCATCAAATTTGCCTTACATTTTGTGTGTTGTTGATTAGTAGATAAATTAGTATTGTAAAACGATGTTCTTGTGTGCCTGGTATTTTAAGATCTCTGTAGTAGAGTCTAAAACATCCCAAGAAGAGCAAGAAGAAGTAAAGTCAAGAGTAATATCGCCAGAACAAGAAAATACTGCAGTGAAAAGGGCTGAGGAAAATCTCAGACTAAGTACTCCCGAAGAAGACAATCCCCTGAACAAGTACATGCAGTTACTTCTCCAGAATCGAGCAGAACAGCCGCATGACAAGGTGAGCTGCACATGCAGATGGTTTGTTTTCTACACATTCACAATGAAAGGAAACGCATCAACTCAGGGGCGTAACTAGAAATTACAGGGCCCCATAGCAAAATTTTGTATGGGGCCCCGTGATTGCTAGTTATGCCACTTGCAGAGCCCACCGGAGAGTGGCCATGCAGAGCCCACCGTAGACTTTCTATAGTGGGCTCTGCAGGGTCTGAGATCTCTTACCTGTCAGGGCTGTCCGCCTCTGTGGTCGCTGGGCCCCGACTCCTGTTCCGTCCCCGCCTCCTCTGCTATCGACGGGCCTGCCTCCTCATACATCACTGGCCCCACCTGCTCTTAGGTCGCTGGCCAGTGATGTAAGAGGAGGCGGGGTTGCTCTTAGGCGGGCCCCGCCTCCTCCTCCTTTCCGAACACTGCTCTCATCTGCTGCAGCGGCTGGCTGTCACTGACACAGCTCCGCAGCGGCTTGGAAGGGAAATGCGCCGCGGCCGCTGCTGAGCTGTGTTAGTGACAGCCAGCACCCTTACATGCCATAGCGGCCCTGGCCGGGCCCCCCTGTGCCCGGGCCCCATAGCGGCCGCCTGGGTCACTATGGCGATTGTTACGCCGCTGCATAAACCCACAACACTCGACCTGTTGTGCAATGTAGTGACCTAGTCACTGATAAAAGGGAAACTGCAAAGGAGCAAGATAAGGCAGCTACCATTTGTCTTTTAGTAAAGAAGTGTTTACAATAGTAAGAAGTAATAGTATGAAAGACATCTTATTGTATTGGAGCAGTAAATATGCCTTTATGTTTTATTACTCCGTTTTAGCACAGTATTTTATTTCAGTCAGAGTTTATTTATCAGCTGTGTGCCATTAAGGTTAAAAAGATAGCATAAGAGGTTTAGCTTTGTATTGATCTGGTATTAATATTTTATTAAGGCATCCCCAGACCTTCTCTGTTTCCCATCAAGTAGAGAACAATTCCTTTATAAAGGGACCTGAACTGGTCTAACAGTGTTAAACTGCATACACCTTTCCTAACTTTTGTATTCCCTAAAATGATCCCTGTATCTCTGTGGAGCCCCTTGGGTCCCAGGCCCAAGCAGTACATGGGGCATCAACTTCTGGCCATGTTGCTCTTAATCCTCCCTGTTTATGTAACGTAGCTATCATATCCTAGAGCCTCTACTGTCCAGTGTAGGATCCAAGCATCTCCCCATGGATCAATCGGAAGACTAACAATGATACTTGCAAGTCTCTGCACTGTTCTAACATTAGCATCATTTAGTGCCAGTTCACTTTAAAGTACATCTGTCACCTAATCAAAGTTATTAAGCAGATCGCATGAGAACTATGCGCCTTTAAAATGGGTCCACTTGTCCATGCCTCTGTTAATGCAAAGAAAATTGACTTTCCAGATGACATAGTTGTTCTCCATATCTGCAGTCACCTCCTCTGCCAGTAGCATGCTCATGAGTTCCCATGGCTGCCAGGCTGTACAGCAGTCCACATGACTACTATGAGAAGAAAGAAACAGGAACCTGGGCCTGCATGGGATTAAAAAGCAACACGTAGTGCTTTCTTATTAGGATTCAGAAAAAGCTTCCTTTGTTGCCTGGATTCTGTCCAATTGAGCAGAGCGCAGTATTTCTGACTCCGAGGGATATGGATTGTACTCTGTGGTAGCCTTTGACATCCAGCCACAGAAAGTAGCATTGTGGTCTAGTCTGGAGTCTTCGGCATTTGCCTTCAATTACATGTAGAATGACTGTGTTAAGTGTCACAACTATGTGATTTGTAATGGACTTTATGGTTTTCAGGTCACAAAAGAATCAGTGGACGATGTTTCTTTGGTAGAAAAACTTTCTAATGGAAGGTAAAGCATTTATTTCATTATACTGGTAACTTGGGTTCACATTGTCTTAGCTGTCTGGAATTTCAAATCACCATCCCATATATTTCATCCTGTAGACACCTGAATATGACAGATGACATCTATGTTTTTGAGTATCGGTAGATGTTTTACGTTTATTTACAGTTATATTGCAACCTTAATGGACATTTAAAGTGCAAGAGTTTTCAGAAGAAGCACCAAGTGGAGAGCAATGTCTTTAATTGTAGTGTTTTCCAAACCAGTCAGGCACCACTAAATACAAGTTTCCCATCCATTGTCACAGGCCAAGTTTCCAGACAGCACAGCTATATGAGAGAAATATACTCATTTCTTTTTACCCACTGCTCTATTAGTGCTGCTTGAGGAAAGAAGTTGGGCTCCTTACTGCTTCTGTTGTATGCAGTGTGCAGCAATCATTGTGTTCAGGTGGGACTTATTCCCCATAGAGTTCAGTAAACTTAATGCACCTAACACAAATGTCATCTGATTTTTTTCTTTTTACAATAAGAAAAAACATCCTACTTGATAAATCTTTTCTATATTTTTTATTGTGATATAATTCCAGAATTTTGCCAATCTAGGTCATTGATGGAGAAGGTGTAGTAACCTCTAGGGCAGGTTTAGGCAAACTCTGGCCCTCCATCTGTGGTGAAATTACCAATCCATCATGCCTCTGGGACTCGTGGCTGTCAGAGTCTTGCAATACCCAATGGGATTTGTTGTTGCATCAAAGATGGAGGGCCAGAGTTTGCCTACCCCTGCCCTAAGGGAATGACATTAAATTCAGGTGCACATGTCACCTGCACAGCCATATTTTGCAGTCCAAGTTTTTGGCAGACAAGAGAAACTAGTGATGATATATTTAGTTAATGGCCACAGTATCCTGTATGGAGCAAATAAAGTACTGCATGTCAATACAAAAACCTCATACTAACTGTGAATCACAGTAGGACAATTATAATAATGTTAGGCTGCTACAGGGCCTGTGCAGTTTGTGATCATATGGGAGACCTAAATGTGTTAGTGCCTTTTAATCAAGTATCTGGCTATGCAGAACCTAGCAACCAGTTGGTGCCTCACTTATCATTGTCAACAAAATGAGAAAATCTGGTTGTTATGAGAAAAAACAAACCTCTCCTTTACTCGGATACGGTACTTCATAATTGAGGTCCTTTAAGGTCGTCTACTAAAATTGTACATAAGGTCTTTAGTGGCCTGCCTGCGATCTAAAACTCACAAAATTGTTGTTTTATTAAAAGTATAAACCAAAGTACATGGTCTCAAAGACTGGAACAAGCCAACAACAGAGTAGCTCAAATGTAAGACATTGCAGATTTTTGAAAAGCCATGTCCAAGCCATTGACCTTAATACCATTGAAATTATATAGTTTGATCAAAAGCAGCCATGTGAGCAAGATATCCAGAAAATATAAAATTTTTATATAATTTGGCTTTTATATTGAGGAATTGAGCAAAATACCTCTAAGCAGCATCTATAGAAAGCTTTTATTGATGAAGGCAGTTCCACTAGTTACTAAATACAGAGTTTCATATACATTTTTTAATGTGTGATTTTGGTAGATTAAGCCATTTGTTCGGTAATATGCAATTGAATGTGATGTTTGTTTTTGTTACAAATGGTTCTTTCTGTTTGCGCACACCATTGGAGTAAAAGGACAGAAGTAGGCAGGTACTTTGTATATACAACGCCATTTGCAAATCTTATAATCCTGAGAGACGGATTTTCAAAAGGGAAAAAAAAAAGTTCTCATTCTACAGACCCTCCTCCTCCTATCTGAATTATACATCGTTTCCCTTGTGAAACTCCTTCCCCTGTGGAGGGGGGGGACCATTACTAGCCTTTGAAATGGATCGTATTTGTTTAAAGAGCAGATGGGCCAGAAGCGAGGTGAATGAAAATATTTTGGTGGTTTGTCTTGTCTGTAGAGCCGTATCTGACCAAATATATACAGTGCAGAAGTAGAATACCATTTATAAAAAAGTGAACCGCCAGCTTTGAATCCCATTAAGGCTCTTACATGGCCTCTTTGAATAATGTGTATAAATGGTGTAATTGTGAATCTACCCACGCAGCTTTCTGCCTATTAAGATCATTTGTGTCTTTCTTCAGTATCACAGCTCATTCTATGGGAGAAGCAGATGAGGATTCCTGGTAAACAGTCGTTTCCTCTCGTCAAGAGAAATCCAAGTCCTTTGAATTTTCAGACTAATGGTTTGTGTGACCGACGCAGGCTCTCTGTTTGATGTGGCAGTGTTGGCAGGAGCTGATTCTTGTGGCAGAAAATGTTGCATGTCTTCCTGCTGAGCCTACTAACTCCTCATTCCAGCAATTGCTCATTAAGAAGACAACAGGAAGGAAATATCTTGCTTATCAAATTTGAATTAAGCCACTGTATAAAAGAAAAGCCCATCTGGAGAGAATACAGGGACAGCCAATGTGAAATGTCTTTTTGAAAATGCTTGCTGGCTTATGTACTTTGAGTCACTAAACCGGGTATACACCGCGTTGATGATTACTCCATCCATGCTTACGAGCGCTGATGAATGAATCACCCACTGTTTCCTTTTTATTCTGACATCCAGCTGATGTCAGAATACCCGAGCAGAGCTAGCAGCTGATTGGCTGCTAGCTTCTTCCGCCAAGAATTTTGCAACTGGCTTCTTCAATCAGCTGATCGAGATAGGCCGGGCGGAATGGTGCCGGACAGCAGCACCCTCACAGCAAATTTTGGAAGGTTCATCAAGAACAGGCCAAAATTGAAAGCGTGTATACCTGGCTTAGATGATCAGCAAATTCAGAAGTGCCTACACTATATGTATACCTGCTGCAGGTCAGTGAATCAAAGTATTGCAGCTAAAGGGTCAGCAGAAGAGCCAGGCAACTAGCATTTTGTGAAGAGGTCAGCAGTGGCAGCTGCCATCTTTCTTTTGTGACCGGTTTCCTTTTAATATGTGGAATCATTATATTGAAGCTGTGTGTGTCATTTGCAGATTCTCATTGATTTTCATACTCTGTCTTAATTTTGAGCAAATCATTTTTTAGATACAAAAGTGGGAGTGATGTCTGCATATTCCCCAATGTATACTTCATACATATGATTTTGTTTGTTTTAAATTCCAAATGTCTTGGTCACAGTCAGGTCAGGTTTTAGCGGGTATAATAGCAGTGTGCACAGCAAGCTTTTGGCAAGCCGTGAGCAGCTTTGCTTGAACTATTAAAGCACCATTCAGCTCTAGTTTGTTACATTTACATGTTCACATAGCATAATTCAAAATCAAAAGGTAAAAACTGACGTTTATATATTTCTTGTTTCTCATATTGCCAGTTTTCTCTAAACTGACGTTTCCTCTGGAATGCAAGGGAGTGGGGGAGGTTACCCTAAGGCCCCATTCACACTGAGCGATTTATCGAGCGATTTTTGCAGCGATATCGCTCATATTTCCACGCGATATCGCTCTATGTAGCTTCTCCAATCCATTTCAATGGAGCTGTTCACATCTTGCCGCTCAATATCGCTTGTAGCTCGTTGCTGGTAGCTTGTCGCTCCAATATGACCCTTTTTTCGAGCGATATTGCTCCTGATTGCATACAGCCCAATAGGAAAAAGTTGCGCGACAAGTCGCTTAATATCGCTCGTCACACAATATCGCTCAAAATCGCGCGATTTTAATGTCGCTCAGTGTGAATGGGGCCTTAGTAAACCTGTCAGTACTGTGTTGACAGATTTCAGTTGTAATCTAGATATGAACAATGTCTGTCCTAACAAAGGGTTAAAGATCTAGCAGCATTGTATGTTACGGAAAGAAAGTCTCTAGTCTAATGGGAAAGCCAGAATTCCTGTCACGTTGGACAGACTGCAAGCTTCTCTCTACAATTTCAAAAGCCTTCTACACAGACAACTAAAATGTAAGAAATCATTATTTTTTTGGTATACTGTGCGAATGGGAACACATAACACACACATTATATATATCTATCTATATATATATATATATCTATATAGATTATATAGTAGGTTTTCTCAAATTTCTTCTACAAAAGTGGAAATAGACTTTTAGAACATGAGCCCTAAAAGGTTCAAACACCCTTCTCCAAATTTCTGTACTTCATTGTCTAGTGACACAGATCTGAAGGAGATGGGTCCATAGTCATTAATTATAAAATGCACACATAGGAACTTAGTATGTATGAAGCATTTACATACAGCAAAATGATCAGGATGGGTACATGTGACATGAAATTGCAGTTTTATAGGAGGCTGATATTACAAACCATACATATCATTAGTGCTGATTTGGTAAGTTTGCACAAATAGATACCGGTGCAACAATGTTATCAGCATGAGACCAAATATTAACTAGACTTACCTAAGTTCACTGTGCTGCCCCTATAGTGCCTGCTTGTAATGGATGGCTAGAAACCATTTCTGCTTTACATGGGTTAATATTAAACCACAATGTGAATGTATTGTAAATATATTTATTTAATAAAAATAACACCTTGTGTGGTTTTCCTTACAAACACATTTGTCTTTGATTCTGATGTTAGTAGTTCCTTTTACGCTTTCTGAATAAAATCTGTAGTTATTGTTTTTAGTAGCAAGTGGATGTTATTGAATATTTTCATTTTCATGCAGGTTCACGTGAGATAATGGGGATGTTGCCCTTAGCAACCAATCAGAATTCTTGTTTAATGTTTCCATAACATGGTGAAATCTGTTTTCCATCAACAACTCCACTCTTGTAATCCTTTTACTTTTTTCTAGTTTTAGTAAATTGGTACCTGATATAGTGGATTTAATTATTGGTCTCTAATTGATTTGATGAAAGAGAAAACAGGTTACTCCTAGATCAAAGAAGCTAACTCTATTGGACTGGGATTTCAAAACATGCTCATGCTCATGCTCATGCACTAAGCATAGTAAGGCTGCATTTCTTATACACATACTCGCATACATTTTTTCATGTAGAGGAGTGGCAATGTGTGTTTCGAGCAAAAACACCTGCTGACTTCTTGAAATATTGGCTCCTTACAGAGTTTGGCAAAGATTATCTTTCCCATCACTTTGGCATTGAAATAACTGACCAGGGCCAAGGATACTCCCCTCCCCTTGGGCGTCCTCCATGTCTGCTAGTGGTGTGACTATTTTAAGTGGTCATTTACCCCCCCTTTGACTAAAAATCACATAAGCATACAGCTCTGCATGCAGATAGGAAATCATCTTATGTTCATTACCTAAGCAAACAGTCTTTAATTTTACTTAGTCTTTTTTTTTCTTTTCTTCCACTTTGGCACAAATGATGTAACCTTCCCAGGATGCAATGTTTGGGCATGATTACATAAACAGAGCATTGCTGGAAAATCTCATCTGTAATCCCATGAGATCTCAGAGAAAAGCATTTTCCTCCCCTAAGATGAGGTACATGGTTACATGCCCTAGTCACATGTGTCACAGTTCCAGGAAGTAAAGGAAGATATATTACTCTGCCCTTAGTTAAAATGGCCACTGCCTGAAGAGTGGGGAGGAAAAGAGAAATAAGGTATGCAAAGAATACAAAGCCTGCAATTATCTAGAAGTATGTGTTTGTAGATTGTCATTACTAAACATTTCTAAAAGTGCCTTTGTTGTAATTTTGAAGATATGGGTAAAGGCCCTCTTTAAGTATCGTGACAAAGACTATATATCCGTTGCAAAGCAATGGCGCCTTAAGATCAATAATGCTGCTGCTCTGTTGTTTCCTGAATACGCCTCCCAAATCTGCAAGCAACGCTTTTCATTTCAGGCGGTGAAGCAATCTCTACGCTAACTGGGTCTGCCCTATACCATACTCCTTCGTTCTAGGTTGTGGATACAACACCAAGCAAAAAACTAATTTCTTCACTTCACCAGAGGAAGCGAAGGCTTGGACAGAATCACTACCATGTTTTCACCCATCGCTTTCTAGATCCTCCAATACTTGAATATAACTTTTTTTTCCAGCCATCTCTCCATTTGAGCTACAGTTGGGCAGGAAAGCTTAGTGCTGTACCATGGCACATTGCCATATTGAATTTATCACTGTTTTCTACTTTTTTTTTTTTTTTTAAATTATTAATATTATTTGAATGATGGCGAGAGTGTGCTGTCTTTCATTTTATTTTTTGTATTTCTGCTTCCTGGGGGTTTGCTAAGGGTGGTGAAAAACATAATGGCTATAGTCTCCATACTGTTAAATGTCCACGGACTTATTATATTCAATAGCCTAGCTTGTTTATATTTAGAATTAAGGTACATAGTGCAAATATTCTGTGTTTGCAAGAGTCTCAGGACAAAAAGTATTAGCATGGAAGCCCCAGAATTTTTTTAAGGGTATCTACTTGCAAGGAGTGTGTCGGTGCTGATCCGTACGGGTCTACCATTTAAGGGCCTTTTTAAAGTTTCTAACCCAGGAGGAAATTATATCAGAATACATTGTTTGGTCTATAGTACCCCCTCTAATATAGATTTCAGTTTACTTTCCCCTGCCTGTTCCTCGAGCATTATTTATTGAACTCCTCCATTTTTGTCATTGGGTATTTCCATTCAGTAACTGACCCGGTCCTCGACAGGCTGCAACCTCTCTGGTCAGAACCAGCCTACTTTCTTACCTATTATACAGCTTACAATTATGTAGACAGGCAACACCCTGGGGTTAAGGAGTATTACTGCCAAACTTGAATCTACCATGCACTCACCATTGCCAGTAAGGAGTTCTTACCTGGGGTCATGGAGATTACTTACCTAACCCAATTCTTGCAATTTTTTGGCAGGAAAACACTTCTCCCCAGTCCTAATAAACCCACTGGGATGCATTATAGCATATACTAGAGGACTATTTAATAATATCATGGCATTCAGGAAAGGGTGGCCTGTAGCTGCTGCTTGCAGTCATGGTGACTTCCCCTTCCAGTTCTGCAACTTAAGTAGGGGTGAATACATGTTAGATCCATCTGAATCCAAACAGTTGCAGGTAGTCAATTCCTAAAGTGCCTCAGAGGTTGCGACCACAAAACTAGTCCTAAAGAAAATATTATACCTTACAGCTTCCCTTTTTGAAGTAGGAAAAATGGAAAGGCTTTGGCTTTTTTGGCAAAAGTTGAAACGCCCTCAAGAACTATTCCTTGTATACAGGATCCGTTGAGTGTGTTCGCTACACCTGGTGGTATTAATGACCTACTCTCTTAATTGATCTTGCCAAGCTGTTGACTGCTCAGAGACAGCATCTGGATTCTCCTTTCAGAACTGAGGAAATAGAAGAGGCTTTCATGACCTTCCCGACTAATTAAATCCCTGGCTTGAATGGGTGGCCCCTACACTCCTGGAGGTTTTCCAGGAGGCATATTAGAGTGAAGCTCTTCAAACATCTATGAATAAGGCCATGATCGTGTTCTTGTTTATAAAAAAAACATGTCATTCATACAGACCTATTTCCCTCCTCAATGGGAATGTATTTGATAGCTATTCTCCTCACTAGAATTTTTAGGGTTACAAATATCTACTCTGCTGACAACTAAAATGTCCTGGTTTGATAACTATGGACATTATGAAAGCCTTTGACACACTGCTCTGACAATATGTGTGGAAAGTGAAGCCGCATATGGGCATCAGCTCATCCTTTTGACAATGGATGCAGCACCTATATACAGGTCCCAGCTATCGAAATGTGTCAGGACTGTTTCCCCTTTCAGAGAAGAATCCACAAGGCTGACCATTATCACCACTCTATTTGCTGTGAGGCATGCCAGGGGTTCCATTACAACAGCAAATCTCCAGCAGTTGCAGGCCTCATGTAGAACTCTCTGATGGAGATCTCTTTGTAAGCAGACAATACCCTTGCTTATTTGGATGGTTCTGAGGGTTTGTTCAGAGAAGATGTTGGAAATCATTGCTCAATTTGTAGAGATTTTGGGATTAATGGTCAGCTGGGACAAATAAGTGGCCTTTCCCATATGCCCCATTAAAACCTCCTCCTTCAGACAATTTAATCAATTCAAATATAATCATGTTAAACAATTTCTTAACATCAACCCTACTATTTCCTGTATGGAAACCAAATTACAACATTTGCATTTGCTCCCACTCAATTTAATAGAATCTCTTCAAATGAATCTCTATGAATTCCACGCCGCGCCCATCTCCCTTCCTTGGGATTTATAGAAATCAACTCTCGCATTACACCCTTCATTTGGCATATTTTTTTCGCTCAAGAATTTCACAATCAGATTTGGGAGCCTCCAAATTGAATGGAGGACTCCCATTCACGAATTTCTATAATTACTTTTTATTATTTCCGAGAGTCTTTGTCCATGAGTGGTTAATATATAGGGATTTCCTTGAATACCTCCTGCCGAGACATGCCATTACAACACAGGTTGGTTCCCTTTGTTTGGAACTGGTTAATCAGTCCTCAAAATTGTGCTATGGAACCCAGATCAAAAGAAAGTGGTCACCAATGTATATAATTTTCTATAAAGCTCAGAGTAACGTCCTTTCTCCACATCCTACTCTAAATGGAAGCAACACATCCCTTCATTGGAGGAGCTGGATTGAAATGGTTTTAAGCCACTATTAGCAATACCAACAAGTTGAAACAGTTTTAATTTGATCATAATCTTTAATACACGCTGAAGCAGTTGGCCAGCATGGGCCTTCAGGCCCGTGTGAGATGGTAACCTTGTGCTACTGACCTTGCACATTTTTTTCCATATGTTTTAGCCATGTCCCCCTTACCATCTTGTCTTGACTTGTATTGTAATGTCTTCCTTATATGTAAAGTGCTGTGCAAACTGTTGGCGCTATATTAATCCTGTATAATAATAATGTCCTCATATTTAAACTTACTGGTAGAATTTACTTCAAGATGCGATTGGACTTTACAATTTCCTAAATATTTTGAATGAATATATCTAAAACCTGCACCCAAACTATGTTTAGATATATTTGTTTCTATGCTCGCAAAGCAATTCTTCTACACTGGAAGGACTCCAAACTCCCCCTCTCACGCCAACTTTTTGAAGTTGATCAATGAGATACTGCCAAAATGAAAGTTAATCTACTTAAGCTGTGCGTGCCCCATGAAATTTACTAAGATTTGGATCCCATGGCTGGAGTGCATGAACGACAGACTCTCTTAAGGTGGCCATACACTTTACAACCATCACAAGACCTTATTCTTGTGATGGTTGTAAAGTAATTAAAAAACGTACGATCTGCCCATCTTGGACAGTCAGCTCGTACTTGCGATCATCACAAGCCCACCCCGCTGAGGGGCTGGCTTCCGATGACTGCAATGCTGAACGGGCAGTGTGCGCGTGCGCACACCGGCCCGTTCGGCATTTGTCTCCCGAGCATGCCACAAACCAGCCAAAAATCTAAGATTTTCGGGTGGTTTTCGAACATGCTCCTTAGACAAAAGACTTGCGACCGTACAGTAAAAACGGTTGCACGCCTTCCATAAACTTTGCGATTATCGTATGATCGCGGGATTTCCCCGCGATTATTGTGCTATAATTGCAGTGTATGGGCACCTTTATGCTTTAGCTTGAGAAACACTATTAGTTACAGGGCCACCTCGAATAGGAAACTAGAAAACCACATAATTCAGGGTAAGAAAGTGCGGTTGATTTGCTAAAGGCAAATACTGTTCACTTTACAAGGGGATTTTCCCTTAGCTTAGTGAATGTGTTGCAAATTTATATTACAAAGAATACCCAGTCAAGCAAGTGAACAGCCTATTTGCCTTTAGTAAATCAACCCCCACGAGTCGCCCACTATACTGTATCTATGGAGGTCATGGCTGTCACCCTAGGCTGTTCTCCTGATTTAGACAACAAACATGCCCCACCCTCGTTATCTCCATTATATGGAGGACAGGGCAAATCCTAGGGTAATTTGATACCAGGAGTATGAATCCATAATGTCATACCAGATTTTATGCTGCTTTTTAGCAAGTTTAAGTCGCAAACAGCAATCTGAATTTAAACAAAGGACTGCCATGAAAAGCCTGACCACCCTTAGCAGGCGTTTGTCAACCCTTGGGTTAGAAAAGTCAAACCCAAGAGAAAATAGAGAAGACATCCAAAATTACAGGTTTGCTTATAAATGCCGAACCAAAGAAGAACTTAGGCCCGGTTCACACCTGGGCGTTTTGTAGCGCGCTCCTACGCTCTGCAAAACGCTCAAACACCGAAATCCCATTATTTCTTATGGGTATGGTACACTCCTGGGCATATTACAGGCCGTATGAACGCGCTACAAAACGCCCTACGCTCAAAGAATCGCGGTAAAAACGCGTGACAAACGCGCATCTTCGATACGCCTAGGTGTGAACCCAGCCTAAATGCTTACATAATTAGCAACTTTAAAGAACTTGCTATCTGCATACCTGGCTTAGGAGGATCAAGATAGCACATAGAACAGAAGTCCCTAAAAGGTACCTGCTGTCATCTTAGGCTGTCAGCTATAGGTTAGCAATGTTCTATACATCACAATGCACAGCCATGTAGTCATCTAGGTGTGAAGCCATGGAGACACCTACATGTGGGCATTCTGCCACAGATGCAGTCATGTAGACAACTTTATGTAGGTATGGTGCCACAGACACAGCCTTGTAATCGTCTACGTGTGGGTATGCTGCCACAGACACAGCCATGTAGTCATCTAGGTATGCTGCCACAGACAGTCATCTACGTGCGAATATGCCGCCACAGACACAGCCATGTAGTCATCTACATGTGGGTGTGTTGCTACAGCCATGTAGTCATCTGCGTGTGGATTTGCTGCAACAGACACAGCCATGTAGTCATCTACGTGTGGGTATGCCGCCCCAGACAGAGCCAACGACTCATCTATGTGTGGGTATGCCGCCATACATAGATGACAACATGTCCTCCAATTAACTATTCATTTATTTATTTTGTTCATTTTTACATGCACACAGGGACTTTATTGTGGATTTAAATATATTTTAAAGAAAGAAAGCAATCTTAAATCATCACAATACCACTAGATTTATCTACAAATATTTATTATAACACTTGGATATAACTACAGGAAGCCCTTGGCACTGATAGAAAATATTGATTCACTGTTAGGTTACAAAACTTTATACATAGCAAAAGGTAATGCCTTTTTACATAAAAATAGAACACTAAACAGGAAATCAAAAGGAAAACTTCCATCAACTACACAGAATAGAAAAAAAAATATTAAGACATCGCTTTCATTATCCATACATTAGGACACTGGGCTAAGACATCGCCTTCATTATCCATACATTAGGACACTGGGCTAAGACATCGCCTTCATTATCCATACATTAGGACACTGGGCTAAGACATCGCCTTCATTATCCATACATTAGGACACTGGGCTAAAACAATCACCTGCATTGCAGTAGAAATAATTACAAGTTTTCCATGCATTGGCTTTAACGAAAAGCTAAGCTATTATGTTACATTTTTCTTCTAAATACCGTAAAAGTCTCAATTGTAACTTGTCAAAAAAAATCCTCTCAGGATTGTAACCAAACAAAATACCCAAACACTGTCTGTTCACATTTTAGTCATCAGGTAGACTGGGCATTGTTTTTCTAAATCAGTACCGTCTACGATTCACATTTGTTTTTTGTTTTTATTTTTTTTTAATTTTTTTAGGAAGTGCAACTGTCAAAAATAAATCACGATTACCCACAGAAGTATGAAGGACCTACAGCAACAATGTAATACTATATCTTCAATGCACCACTTGAATTTTTTTTTTGTAACTTTATGTAACTTTAGACTAACACTATTGAAAGATCATATTTATAAACTGCTAGAAGAGAACTTGAAATGAACGTTTTCTCTCGATGCAGAGGAGATGGATGTCTTGTGTACAAACGCCAATTCATAAACTCTAAGCGAATTCGCCTCTTGATGCTCTAGTAGATCTGAATACTTCACAGCCCCCAGGCACATATGTACGTGTGCAAGTATATACAATGCTTGGTTCATGGTTTCATTTCAAAGTAACACTACTTTATATTGGGGTTCCTTCATATAATTAGACTTACTGAAAATAAGTATGGTAGATGCACATACTTGGTATGTTATCCAAGTATCCAACCCAGCCACTGAGTCGTCCCCACCCCTCCTCCCCCCAGTTCGGAATGGTATATTCCAAAGGGAAAGGAAGCGCCTATGCATTCAAAGGACTTCCTTTCATAATGCCTGAGATTGAAATGTGTGAGGGAAAAAAATGGAAACATTTTTTTACTCACTGAAATTTGTTTCAACTGTACAGCTTCATGTCCAAAACCATGTTATGTTTGACCTTTTTTTTATTTTATTTGATATTGTAATTGTACACTTCTGCATTAATTGATTAGTCACAAAGGCTACCGCTTCTCATGCTGTTAATGTTTTATGTGTAAGAATTGAGCTGTTCTTTGGACCGTGACTGGATGTCTTGAAGTTCTTGCTCTTCTTTAGCTTTAATGTCTTGGTAGGCCTGCATTTTGCTTGCATCCTTTAAGTAGGCCCAATTAGAAGCCAGAATCATGAGGAAGTGGATCTGCAAGAGAAGGGTGAGCACGATGGCTAGTAAACGTGTCAAGAGGCAAAGCAAGCAGCTTGTTAGAATCCTATAAGCAGCAGTTGTTTAATAAATGAACAGAGAGTTAATTTGCTTTTTAAAACTGAAGTAAAAATTAACAGACAAATCCATTCATGCACTTAGACTATAGTGACAAAAGTTAAAGCTAAACTCTGGTTCAATAAAAGTAAGTACTGTCTAAATACAAAAAGTATTCTTAAGTGAATCTCTGTGCTATATGCATTTTGTTTGGTCTGTGCAGTAAGCTAGTGTGAAACTTTGCCTCTGTGCAGGAGCTTCCTGTGATGGAGACCGGTCACTGCTGATCACTTATTGTGCAGAGTGACTGGTCTTGTACCCGCCCCTTCCTGTAGTTTTCTGGAGACATCCTGTAATGGGTGGGGCATGCAGGACCCCTCCCACAGCTCTGTCCCCTGTATAATATATTTGCAGAACAGTGATGATGTCACAGCTGCTTTTGCAAGATAATATTAAGTTTACAAAAGGAATGTGATGCACGCCTGGATGTTTATATTTTGTGGCCATTGGGGAATATATTGAAATAAAGGCTTTTGTGCCCAGAGTTCAGCTTTAAGTTAAGCAACTACAGGAAGTAAATTAGTAAGACAAATCAAACAAGTCTATAAATGTGTTTGCAAGGTGGCTAAAGCAACAGAAATCAAATTAATTGCTAAACATATGTTTGCTTAGTAAAAACAACAACAAACAAACCCCCCCCCCCCCCCCCCCCCTTTAAAAAAAACAAAAATAAATGAAACCAAATTGCTTTTTATTTTATTTTTTTTACTCTGTGTAGAACATTTATATATAAGAAACAATATTGTATCATAGATACACAAGTGAGGAAAAAAATAAACTTCAGGACATACTAAAATAGAAAACACATGGTCTGTTAAATAGAACTTTTTCTTCATATATTACACAAACTGTGGATGTAACGGGTTTATAAACAGAAGCATGCAGTCCACAAATTAGTGTTTATTGCCATTTTATTCAACTACAAAAATAGGTTATAAAAAAGAAGAAAAAAAAAAAAAAAGAATCCATTGCTAGTGCTCTTATTCTTCTTTCAAACTTCCATGTCAATAAAGAACCTTGTATCCAGTGATAATTGTGTCACACAATACACTTCCTGTGCGCTACTATTTCCTGCCACACCTTACATCACTTCCTGCTTTCTTGCTTATATAACCAACTGGGCCTCCAGTATGTCCAGATCACACTGGCCTTGAATCTAGTGGTCAACGGCCTATTCGTCTCTTATGGTTTTGTATTTATTTTCTTTGCTGAGATCTGGCAAATAAATGATCTGTAACTAATCTTTTTTTTTTTACCTGTACAACATTTTTATCTATTTTTCAAAATAAAAAAGCTCACGTTTTTAATATATGGGGCACGTAAGTGCAAATTAGGCATTAGTTACAGATTAGTATTAATTGGTACAAACCTATGCCTATGTAGCTGGTGTATGTATTTGTGCATGGCAGTAAGGATATGTGTTCCTCCCTGATCCTCTGACATGTATGACTATATTGCATCCAAGCAAAGCCGACTAGATGGAAGGCACATGTGACAGAGGTCATTACAATATGCCAAACTGCATGTGCTTTATTTATTTATTGTTGAAGAAACAGATTTTAGCCAAACCTCGTCCACCGTTGTGTTTACATACAATACTTTTATTATTTTTATTATTATCATCTATGTTGCTATTAAGGAAGACTATTTACAAAAAAAAAAGAAATTGAAAATGCTAGACTGAGTTTTTTTTAGTCCAGGGTGTCAGTGGTAGTTTAAGCTACAACAATACAGTCTCTATTGCTGTGACTAAGGTTAGAATTTAGTGCAGCAATCCTCCCGACTCTTAAACTTCAAAACGGCATAGTTATATGTGGTTGCCATCATGTAGATCAGCTGGTGGAAGAGAACAAAATAAAAAGGAGTGTAAGATATAGCACATTAATGCCTCATGCAGCCTTGGACATAACTCCGCTACAGGCTCATTGTGCATGGGATATCACAGTGGCTAGAAACAACAGAGACCTCAATAAAGAGACCTCTAATTTAGAATTCACATTCTTTAATGTGTGAACAGGACAAGAAGAGCGGGACAAAGTTCCCCCACAACAGTCCAAGTCCCTGGTAAACAGCTGCAGATGATATAAAATGCAGACACTGCAGGTTAAAGTGTCACAACCATCTACAGACTACAAAGCAGTCATTACTTATTTTCTGCAAGTACCATACCAGTAAATGAATGTGAACATATTGGTGTCATTGTTCTCCGTCAGGCTTTATACACAAAATTACACTGACAAAATAAAGTCTGATCAAATTTAAAGTGGACCTAAAGTCAGAAAGACCACCCACATCTACCAGCTCACCCTACTCGAGAGCAGCAGTTTAGGTAACCAGCTATTTCAGGTCTCCTGTTTTAGGGCCATATCATACTAGTGATCAAGTCACTGTGGACAACTCGCCATCAACTGGATCACTTAAAGAAGAACTCTAGGTAAAATTTTTATAGACCCTTGCAGAGGGGCTACGGGGTTACTTAAACCCCTCAACCCCCTCCCCCCGCTGCATGGGTTAAGTGCTTGTTTTTGCCTAGGCTCAAAAATAATAAAGCTATACTAACCCAATCCTCCAAACCAGCCAGCTGCGACACTGCTCCCTCCAGTCTACTCCGCAGCGATGGTATGTCCTATACACAGTGTATAGAACGTGATGACTCGAGGACCTTAGACCTCTGCAGTGGAGGGGGAAGAGAGGCCCCAGGTTTTTGAGCAAGCCAGCTTGGAGGATCAGGTGACGCTAGGCAGAAATGAGCCCTAAACCCTTGGCTGGATGAATGAGGCACTGCTCCCTCTCTGACACAAATGGTGCAGAATTTAGGATGTCAGTGAGGGAGTGACACATAGAAACAGGTATTACTTACCTTGTTCTAACCCTGTAAAGCAAGTTGTCACCAGTGCCAAGATTGCTAGTGTGACATGGCCCTATGAGCATTGTGTATAGCAAACCTTTACAAAGTATTGTTACTGTTTTCAGCAAATTCCAAGCAGCTTTGTTGAAAGTTTTAAAGCACTCTTCAGCTCCAGTTTGTGGAGGATGAACACGTATAATGGGAGTGTTGGCTGTCACTTTAAACAAACTGCCAGAAGGGTTGAGAAGGCATTTAACAAGTTTCAAGTGCCAGGGAGGATCTTAGTCTAATAGATGACATCTGACCTCTTGACTATATGAAAATATGTTATATGACTTATTGTTACATTAAGCTGTATTGTTTATCATCAATAAAATCTTATTGCTAAAAAAAAAAAAAAAACAAGTTTCAAGTAGTGCTAAAGCCCAATGGCTTGGTCAAAGTGACAGCTTGTGTTTCCCTTGAGATCTGTGTTTAACCTGCCAAACTGCAGTGTAAGGTGGCTTTAATGGCTTCAAGAAACTTGCTTGAAGATGACCGAAATCTTTGCAAATGTTCTGTAAAAAGCTTACATACTGCTTCTATACAAGCCCATATGTACAAGGCTTAAGATAGTGGAGTGAGCATAGTAGCGGGAAGGGGGAGGAAGAGGTTGTGTATGACTTTAGCTTCACTTTAATATCAACAAAAGGACAGAAACATAAAAGGGCTACATCACTCACTAGCTTATATAACAGACTTTATGGGCACAAGTCAGGGCATTGGTGGTGTAGACTATCATTTTCAGGTTACTGCACAAGTTGTATGAATATTATGTCATATCATTGCAATGCCTCAGTCCAAAGACTATATGGCGCAAAGCATTTTTAATTACTGAAGGACAAATGTACATTTACATTAAAGAGCAATGCTATTTCAGACAGTAAACTATAAGCATAAGCTGTGCCTGCTATAAATCTGCAGCAGATTTTCAGCATGCAATTCAATGTCTAATCAATTCAAATTTTATTGTAAATTATAACATAGACTTACCAATGCAATTACAGTAGCACCTGCCCCAGCACAGGCCACAATGAACAGATGGTAGGACATATAGAACTAGAAAAAAACACAAAAAAGGTATAAGAATAAAGGCTTAGCACATACAGTGCATATACTGTAGCTATGCAAAAAATACATGCAGTGTAGAATGTATGCATACACACATTTCCAAACACACTAGATATCACAAAGAGCTCTCTTCTCTCAATATAGACACCTTGTGCCAGGAATTAAATCTTCTTCCGGTATGTATTCTTCCAGCATTAGATCAGAATTTTAAAAAATATGCTTTCGATACTGCAATACATGAAAAGTATTTGCCGTTTGCTTTGCTCACTCTCAATAGCACACCCCCTGAGCCGTGTGACATTGCGCATTGCCTGCTCAGGTGGCAAGCCCTGCATTGTAGGGAGGGTGGCATGTTATATGTTCTTCCATAACTAGAAGTAGTTGGATAATATAAAGCACCGGCCACTTATAAATACCATTTTGTATAAGGAGCACAAATCGTTTGGGTTATTTTAGTTTGGGTGCACTTTTATTGTTTTTTAAATTAGGAGGCAAATTGCAAAATGTTTCATTATTTTCTGTTTTGCTTATTATTCCTCAAATGCCTCAGAAAAAACACAGATATTGATATAATCTTACTACTGATATTGTCTCAAATTGACATCTGGTGGAATAAAAAGTTTTACTGTTAAATTGAGAAAGCCTTCTGGTGTTGACAAGTGTGCATACATAAGTTGAACAAGTATTTTAACCACTACAGTCACTTCATATTTCAGAGTTATTGTAAAAAGGCACCTTTGTAATAGTTTGTTTTTTGGACCACACTGCTGACATTAAAGTGAGCAGGATACCTCCCCCCATTAGGTTTGTCTAATCTTAAGATGCTGCACTTTTTAAATGTTATAGAAAGGCTTGGATATCATTCATCTCTTTTTGTGTAAGGCGACAATACGAAAATACGCCACATACTCCAGAGAATTTTATTATATATACTGTACAGTATATACATTATTTCTATATTATCAAAGGTAATGGAATGTATGTGGTGTATAAAGGTGCAAATTATCAGCCATTCACACTTGATTGGTTTCTGTGGGGTAGCAGCTATTGGTGTTTGCACTACTTTACTAAAGAAGGCCATTTGCACTATAATCTTATTAAGCTGCCTGTACCTAATATGTGTGTTTTTTTCCACCAATAAACTAGATTTTTTTTATACTGTAAAATGTTAAAGATTGTGAAACACGAAAAAAATGGTAAAACTTAAAAAGTATTTATTTTGAGGGGTCAAAATGTAAGTCTTCATACCTCATTGGTACTGCAGATGTTTTCCAAAGCCGATCCACAAGCCTTACCAGGCAAGGCACTCCATGGAATGATACCTGTATAGAAAAGAAGGACAATCATCTGAATTCACTGCAGAGAAAAAAAACGTTGCACGCTGTCTTCACTTCCCCACCCACTGGCCATCTGTGTTCCTTTAGATGCACCCACACAAAATGTTCAGTTTATCTACTAACTGGCATAATGACGTATTCCGCAGTTCACCTACAAAAACAGAATGTCTGAATCTTATGGTTGAAAGCTCTGGTAGAGTCTGTGCATACTAGTGACCAAGTATTATGGAAAGCTATATTTACTAAAAGACCTAATGATGTTCACTCAGTTAAAAAGGAGTAAAATCCACGATAATCAGCACACACAAATGTAATCTAATGATTATAGAAATGTTACCTTTATGCTGTCCAGGTTCCATCTAGCAAGCCTGCTTCACAATTTTGTTTAGTAGCAGGACTTTGCAAGTTAAACTGCAGAGGTTTTTGGTCTTCTACAAACACACACACATACATGCATGCATGCATGCATATACAGCTCCTGGTTACCAAAGTGATTACATTGCAACAGCAAAATGATTTTTAGACATCTTGCTTGGATCTATTCCAAGAAAACAAAAAAACAAAACAAAACTAGATCAACCCTTGGCATTGCCACACAGAAGGAGGGAACATCCGCATGTAAATAATAGCACCTACGTTTGCTTGGGGGCTCTATCAAACCATCAACCAATACACTAGTGCAACTCTGCAGCAGCCATTGGCTCTTCAAGGCAGTGCATTGAAAACAAATTTTCAAAGAGGGCTGTTTACCAATATATTGTCAAAGAGTCATTTTTGTCCTAAACTATAAAGAAGCATATTTAGCTTTTAGCATTTTCTTGTAAAAGTAGCAGTGATCAAGCAGATCTACCCACTACAGGCTGCCAGCAGATAACTATAGGGGAGACAGACACAAGACCAGTCATCCTGCACAAGGAGAGAGAGCAGCAGTGGTGAGATGGATACATGACCAGTCACCCTGCACAAGGAGAGAGAGCAGCAGTGGTGAGATGGATACAAGACCAGTCACCCTGCACAAGGAGAGAGATCAGCAGTGACCGGTCTTTATTGCAGGAAAGCTCTCCGCAGAGGCAAAATACCCGAGTTGTTTCATGCTATATTACTGTACAGATCTGAAAAAATGACCTAAAGGACACCTAGATTCAATACACAAGGCTCTTGTATTTAGACAATATTTGTTTAACGTGCAGTTCATCTTCAATTTAGCACAATTCCGTTTCTCTGAACATGATGCACTATAGCTGGTGAAAGGTAAAACAAAAATTACCGTATTGTCGGATGTCCACACATATCTGTTCTGCGGAAGTGGTCAAGTTTACAGGCAACCCCTTGAGGACTTCACAAGATGACCACATGTTATAGAACATGAAAACAGGTACTGCAGAAAAGCCAAACACTCCAAGCCAGGCCACCCCCAAGATGTACGTCAGGAACACAAACTGGATGAGGGGGAAAAAAAAGAAGAGAAAAACATCAGCCTAAAAGTTTGGTTACATGGCATGTCAAGCTCTACACAACTGCACACTACATGACTGATGCCAAACTCTCCTAAGCAGAAATATGCTGGTCTATACTTACTGCCTGTGTTTTACAACTTAGTCACCATGTGAATGTACACACTTACCTTTGTACATTTGAGTAATACATATACAGTATACGATTTGTAGAAGTTGGTAGGGTGAAAGATTGATGGGCAGTTGCAAAATCTAATATATGTTTACAACATAAGAAAGAATAACTGGGCTAAAAAGATTTCCTTTACCCTATTACCCCATAGTTTCATAGCTCCCCCACGCCTTGTAGTTGTAATTGTATATACTGTAGAGTAAGAACATTCCTACAAAAGGTTTGATAATAGTGAATGGAAAAGGAATAGCCAACAAAAATACTTCTGAAAGAAGAATTACATGCTTTGAATTAAGCATACATAGTCAGAAATGCATCAAAGATACAAAGAATCAGTGAGGGGAAGTCATCAAAAGTGGAGCGGACTGAATCTGGACCAGTTGTCTATGGCAACCAGCTTCTACTTTTCATTTTCAAAGCTTAACTGAATAAACTGAAGATAGAAGCTGATTGGTTACTATGGGCAATCACATCGGTTCACCGGCGCAAGCAGAACAAATGCAAAGACATAGGGCTAGGCTAACTTTTAGAAACCGGATTTCTTGTTAAGGTCAGATCAATCAAAGATAAATCCTAACTGGCTGCTATAGGGGACTGCATAATTGATTTAAGTTGAACTATGGCCGAAATTGTAAATATAATATTCACTAGACTATCATTTTCTAAACCTAGCACTATTTGATGTGTTAATTGGTGCAAGCAATGCTTTGAATTTCCATCCCAGCAGCTAGAGGGTAAAAATTGCTACTTCTTCAAAGTTGATGACGCAGCTTCCCCTCTATACAAATGGCTCTGTTACCCATTCCAGCAGGACTACAGTGCGGCACTTGGGTGACAGAGGGCATTGCCAGGACCATTGATGGTTTGAGTAACAAGTCTTAGCTTGTCAACCAATGGAAAGCAACACATATGCCCGCTCACCCATTGCAGCTATGCGGAACGGAATCATGGGGGATGTAGTTTGATATGAGGAATGCAGCAGTTAGCACATCTCTCAGAAATGACAAGCTAATTCTGCATAATTCCTTGCATGATCACTGCCAGGATTCTGTACATTTATCTATTCCTACAAAGGAAAAATAAATGAGTTACGTATGAGATGTTCTTTGTGTTTCCTGCCAGAAATGTAAACAGACACACGCTGCCCTTAGTTCCCCTTTAAAACAGAACTCCGGGCAAATGAACAAATTAAGCCTTGCAGGGAAGCTACTCCCACACTGCAAGAGTTAAGTGCTTGTTTTAGTCTAGGGTCTAAAATAAAAAATAAAAAAAAAAGAGACACTCATCCGATCCTCGATCATGCAGTGGTGACCACTCTCTTCTCTCCCTCTCTGCTCCGCTGCGGAATGTCTCTCGGCGTCCTCACGTCCAATACAAGTCAATGGACTTGTATTAAACATGAGCATGACAGCAGAACATAGACCACCGGAGCCTGAGTGAGAAGAGGCTGCAGGGACTGTTCTCTAACAGGCCAGACACGACCAAGGATCAGGTGAGTATATCTTTGTTTTTGTAGACCCTAGACCAAAATGAGCACTAAACCCTTTCAGTAGGGGGGTAGCCCCACTGCAAGGGGTATTTTCCCCCAGAGTTCTTCTTGAAGTCTTTGTATTAGCAGCTAGAGCTTTTACCATTCCGCTGATGCATCGTCCACAGGCAGTAGTTTTAAATTCACTGTGCAGTTCCTTTACTGCACTGGTGGTGTAGAAGCCCTCTGCCAACAGGATGATTCCATACAGGAAGAAGAAAGAAGCGATTCCATAGATAACATACTGCATTAACTGGATTCTGCAAAACAAAGAATTTGTAATCCACTAATAGTCTGCAAACAATGAGTGAATACTGCATTTCATGTTTCCACCTTCAACAATCATGCATCATAGTAAAAAAAAAGTCATTTTAATCTTGAAATAACTAAACGTCATCACAAATGGAACTTTCGGAACGGCTTCTAAACCTTCAGTGTGGTAATGCAGATGCCACCCATGAAGAGCAAGCAGGATCTTACAGGGCCATGTATACTAGGGAATATTTTGGTGCAGTCAAACACAAGTGGAATTGCATGCAAAATGCATGATGAGATCAGGCCGTTCTAGTCAGTGGCAATGGAACCGTATAAAAGGAAGACAAGGAGATACACACAAAGTGTCACTAACTAGAATGGCACACATCTTAACATGCATTTTACATGCACTGTCACATACATTTAACTGCAACAAAATGCACAAGCATGAACAGAGTGTTATGTTAAAATAAAACCAAATTGTGTGCAAAGTTTTATTTTTTTCATCATTTGGCTTCTCCAAATGCACCATTTCAAACTGCCATCTTGACTTTCAGGTTGACATTTTAAGTACTGTGCATACAGTATGTAGCATGCATTACTGTGACAACTGCCAATGAAATGGTGCCCCATAACAGAATTCTTGCACACCTGGATTAAGAAGAGGTTGCTGAACTGCTAGGCATTGTATGTTTGCTAAAATATAACCAAAAAAGTTTAAAAGTCTTGAAAAGTTTGTAGCAGCATGTTTTTTTTAAATGTATATATGACATAAAATGATTCAAGACGGCTTTACACTTCCAGATAATGACATGCTATACTATATCCATGTTGTTACTGGCTTGAGGTCTACATTATTATGGGTGCTTGATGTCCATACTTACACTTCACTCAGAAGGGCATGGTCACTGGGGTTCGAGGAGAAGTGCTGTTCCAGGATGTTTACTGTTCCAGTGAGGGCCACGTGACCACAGCCACAGAAGAGAGCCACTCCAGAGAAGCACAGAATGGTGGCCACCAGCGAAGCATATGGAACTCCTCCCAAGCACTTAATGCAGCACTCAAAGCAACCTGTGAACAAAAAGAGAGACGGCGCCCTAATTAGTGATCGTGCAGACTACAAGTGCATACAGCAGCCATTGTTTCATGCTGTGTTGCAGATGCAAGCCGCCTTCTCTGCTAGCAGGAATCTAGGTCAATTTACAGAGAGACAAAGACTGCAATGTTGGGAATAGGGGAAACAACCACTTATAAAACGAATATTGTAGGATATGTCCAACATGCTCACGAAGGTCAACTTTTTTTTATTTTTAAATTGTCTTCTTGTGTTTATGTAAAGTACCATAAGGCAGTTTTCTCTTCTCACTACATAAATCTAAGATAGGCATGCAGAGGTTTCAGCAGGACATACACACAGCTTAATCAGCACAAAATACTTCATTATACAAGAGGTGGTGGCAGACAAAGCAAAACATGGTGGTAAAGCACTCTGTGGAGTATAGCATTAGTATTCTACCTTGAGGGCCCTGAGGATAATCCGCCAGCACTGGGAATTCTCCTGTGATAGTCACACTGTAAATCTGACATTCCCAAATGTATATCTTTCCAACACTTTCCTGTACATTAGAAAGGGGCCTCACAGTTGCAGCACAGCTCTGGGACACCATCCAAGGGATTGTAAAGTGGAAACAACACCCAAAATACCCTCATCTCACCTTACAGGATCCTTTATGACATTTTCATTGAACATTGATTTCATAGTAGCACAGTATCCCATATATAAATATACTGTTTTAATTCAGTAAGATATCTGCATTATGATTAGCTCATAATCCCGGCTTCAGGGGAAGAAAGAGAAATCTCTTTATAGCATGGGGACAAATCAAATCTGTTGTTCTTGTTAACATCTATACGATAAGATATTTAAATATCAGCGTTACATACATGGATATCTTGGAAATGTCTGGAACTTTTCAGTTAATAATACAACAAAAACTGGAAAGAGAAAGTACAAGGGGAGATGTTTTCCATAAAGAGCGATCAGACTTGATCTTTTATTCTAAGAGAAAGATGAAAATGAAACAATCTTTATAGTTACTATGGTAGACACATCCAGTTTTCATTATTTTATTATAAACACATTCTTTATTTAAAGAGGAACTCCAGTCATAATGATTCTTAACCCTTGCAGTGAGGCTACCCCTGCACTGCAAGGGTTAAGTGCTTGTTTTTGTCTAGGGACAGAAATAAAGTTATACTCACCTGAATCTCGGTCCCATCTGGCTCTTGACTGGTCCCCGACACCTCTCTCCTCCTCAGCTCCAGGGGTCTAAGGTTCTGTGGATCATCACATTCTATACACTGTATTGGACGTGAGGGGGCCGAGGGACATTCCATCACTGGAACAGCAGGACTGGTGTAGCAGCCACCTGGTTTCAAGATTCAGGTGAGGATTTCATTATTTTCGACCAAAACAAGCACTTAACCCTTACAGTGCGGGGGTAGCCATACTGCAAGGGTTACAAAAATTTGTGCCTGGAGTTCCTCTTTTACCAATGTCTTCTAATTCCCAAATGATCTTGAAGCCCAAGTCATTACCACTCAAGGGCCCAGCTTCCAAAGTAGTAATATAATGAACGTACTTTTTAAAATAAAAATGTTTTAAGCACCCCAAGTTCCTTTTATATATACATGTATGATGTTCTGTATACAGTTAAAAAAATCATGTCTCTAAGAATTACAAGTGTCAGACATCATGGGGATTCAGAGATGTCCTGTACTGGGTGCAGATTTTCCTATTTATTTTATTACGGACCAAAAACGTCTGGGGCATAATACAGAACTACAAAACCATGCACATCAGTTCTCATCTCTAGAGTAGCTAATAATTTAGTGTCCACACTACAGACATATAAATTGACAGTCCTGGAGAATGCATAAGTAAACCTCAATAGAAAAATGAAATGTATATAAAAAAGGGAGCCGTTTCACCTGCCAAAGTATTTGTATTTCTGTCCATTCATTTCTGAGATTTATACATCTCTGCTACACAGAAAAGAGTTATATGGCAGGACAAATGAGCTAAATTTTTATTCTTTGCTAGAGGGAAGTAACACTTACAGCTCTCTTTCATACCCTGACCTAGACAGTGAAAGGAGATGCATCCGACTGATGTCGGTGTGCTCTCCCCTATTAGCACCTTCTCAGTTAGCACATGAGAACTACAGAACAGCCGATTTACTTTTTGTACCTCTTCTGCCCCTCCTAGTCTGAGCTCTGCTGCACAGTGAACTGCAAGAGGCTGTTAACAAATCAAAATCAAGTGCAGTGCTTGCATTGCATGGAAACATACATTTTATTATGTAATAATGAATAACATTTTGTGACTTTTCTATTTGCCTGGAGTTCGGCTTGAAGTCAAAATATTTGTTTCGTATTTTTACCAGTTTCTTGAGACTAGGGACTTGGCTTGCTGATGGAATATACTAATGACAATACCTAAAATGTTTCCTAAAAGTATACAGCTATACAGCTGTCTCAGCCTTTTTTTAGGATGCTATCGCATCAAAATATAACCAAGGTCCCTTTCACATGGGCAGCCATCCGCTGCGATCAGCAGGGCATCTATGCACAGGTTTCATGCTGATCGGAGCAGTACGGAATGGTTGTCGCTCGTGACATCCGTGCCCATTTAGTTTTTTCCTTCCTCTTGTGATGGAAAAAAAACTGAACTAAGAAGGCCCAGGTAAGGTCTATGGGCAGTAAGATGTAAAACAGACATGTGTCCATTTAAATCCAATTACCGTCGATCCATAATGTTTAGGTTTGAAAAAATGAAGGACACAAGCCCTCATATTTTTTTTCTGGAAATGGACATTGAGATAAACAAGTGTAAATGGTCACATGATCCTGTAGATCAGAACTGTGTTACTTCTTCCTGCCTGTCCTCCCTAATGGGGAATAAACTAATAATTGGGGATCTGATCTATTAGCCCTCGTTCACACCTGACCGTTTTGTAGGGCGTTCTACGCTCGACGAACGCTCTACAAAAAACGGTCAAAAATATAAATTGCATTGTAGTCAATGCCCTCGTTCCCACCTTGGCGTATTTCCGCCCGTCCATAATGCCCTACAAAACGGCCCACGCCTGAAAAGGTCCCGGGACTACTTTGGGCCGTTTTGTAGGGCGTTTTCCATTGGGATACAGCCAAGTAGCCTTTGGAATCGTGGTAAAAAAACCGTGCGACAGACGCGCATATTACAATACGCCTAGGTGTGAATGGGGCCTTAAACTCAGTCTTTTTTTATGACCCCAAGGGAGGGCGCAGACAAACAGTTTTGCAGGGAAATCACATAACTAATCTTAAATAAATAAAAATTCAGTAGGTGATCCAATACCCTGTGCCAATCGAAAACTGTTATACCTCTTTTGGGTCACCCTGGCATTTAACCAGAGTAATTATGCCTCGAGTGTACAGAACAGTTTAACAATATTTGCTCATAATAAATCTAATGTAAAATACACTCCAGTAAGAATAATAACCATATAAAAAAAATAAGTGATCTTTGTATAAATTATACACATTTCGCGGGTGCTGCCCATAAAGAAACACATTTGTAGGAGTATTTTGGCAAATGACATACATCGGGGGTACATGGCAAAGGTGAAATGTTGTAAAGGGGATAATTAGGCTAAGAAAAAAATAAACTAGCACAGACAAGTGCTGGTGGTACAATGCATGACATAAAAAACAGTCTGAATTAAACAATGGGCCACAAGAAATGAAATATGGCCAGACATGATCTACATACAGCTAACACACAATAAAGGATTTCATGCGGGCGATGAAGGAAGGGGGAGTAGTTAAGCTACTGGACCAGCCAGTGACAGATGTGGTCCAGCTCAGTCAGTAAAAAGGGAGGCTGTGTTAATATAACATGCATATACAATGTACAAAAGAAAATAAGTATACATACATTAACATTAATAGCCCTTAAAGCTGAAGTGGCAAAAATAAAAAAAAGATTGCTGGGAGGTACGGATTTTTTCAGAAGAAACATGCAAAGTCTGCTGCACATACGCACATTATGGTAAAAACCCACCAAACACACAGTGGTTTACTACCACTTTAATTACATTAAATAAAACTACTCTGAAAATAACAGTGTTTGGGAGCTTGTCATGTCAAGTTAGTTAGTCCAGAAAGTCCAGCCTTGTTATTCCCCTGCAAGGGAACATTTTTAATTGACAATAGAAAGAGATTAAAAAGGGCATATTGGTTACCTTATTTCTGGCATTTGTCCCGTCCTGATTTAGAGCAAAATAGTAATGCCATAGTTAAGTCTTTGTGAAGCTAACCTAGAACTCCATTACAGTTACAACCGAACTTCACACAAACCGCTAAATACAAAAGTATTAGCTGATTTACCTGCCAATAGATTTGTATATTTGTCCACCTAGTTCTGAGATTTACACAATCCTGCCACAAAGCACAGCCAGACTGGTGACTTGACTGTTCTCTGCTGCAGTTAAGCCATACAGCCAAGTCACCCTCTGCCCCAGCCTGTGATTGGGAAAGTAGAAGAAAGTTGTGGGGCATCAGATGTTAAAGTGGTAGGTGTTCTTAGTCAGGTATTTAGTATAGAGGGAATGATACTCCTTAAAAAAGGAGAATTATGAGGCGAGTGATTTTCACTCAGCCTCATAATCTGAGCCGACCTGTGACAATGAAACTGTCACAGGTCGGCTCAGTAGATCGGGAAGTGAGCGAATACATACCGTCTCTCGCTCACTTCTCGATCTATCCCTGCAGAGAGCCGTGACAGTCACTCACGGCTCCCTGCAGGGATTCCCCAAGCCATATTTACATTGCATTTAATTTTGTCTTACAAATATATAACTGCATTCATTGGTGTTTTTAATATCTATTTGGAGTTCAAAGTATGAGTAAAGATATGCACACCATGAACAAACTAAATAAGCAGTAAATTTATAGCGATAATATTTTTTGAAAACTATAAGTGCACTTTAAAATCTTTAAAGGAAAGTAAATACGAGATCAAATATTGT